CGCTCGATTGGCAAGAGCCATTATTCGTCCTGTGAAGACTGGACTGGACTGGACTGGAATCCCGCAACTTCGGACGGTCGCGGAATTATCAACCGTGCTGCAAGCCGGACAAACATACAACTTGATCGGTCTACCGACGAGATCGAGCCAGAATCAGGACAACCATAAGGCCGAGGCCTCTACGTCCTGGAAGATTGGATTGGATTGGATTGGATTGGACTGACTGACTGACTGACCTGACCTTGGCTGAACTGACCTTGGATCTTTGTTGTGTGCAGAACGTCATCATGTGGCAGGAAGCTAGGAAGCAAGAAAAACACATCAAGACCTTGATGGTCGACTACAAACGACGAGCGGAACGCAGAAGAGATTATTACGAAAGAATTGTATGCAATCTACTTTATATTCAAATGATTCTTTCAGAAACAAGATCCTATCAAATTTCTCCGCGTCTACGGCCGTCCGGCCAAGCTCCATTTGGATTCAGAAGTGGTAAAAGCCGCTGAAAATCCCAATAACATGTAAGTTTTCTGAATACGTTTATTTAATTCCATAATGACTGCACTGTACCGTGCCGACGGTTTCAGATGTTTTTTTAATATGGTGTCAGTTAAGTACTCCTGGTCATTTGTTTACCCTGTTAAAACACCCTCCTGTTGGCTTTTTACTGCTGCACTGTTTCTTAAAACGAATCATCAACCTGTTTAATAGATTGTATCCTCGGGGATGGAAAGGATGGGCATCGAGATCTTCAACCAAGCTGGAAGGCTTTTTATAAACGTACAATAGCCGTTAACCATAAGATGAATTCCTGGCCTAGAGTAGAAGGAAAAGAGAACACAGCGAGAACTATCCAACAGCTTATCATAAAGTGAACTGAAATCGTTACTTTGTGAAAAGCAACATCTACCTCTCATTTAAGAGCAGAGTTCAAATCGTTCCTTTATGATGTTGTCTATATTTATTTATATTTTCACACACGTCTGAATCCAGACTGTGCCAAGTAAATCATGGTACATTAATTATGAAAAAGAAAGGCTTCCGTGATTTTTATGTGGGTAGTATACTGCCAGGTTGCCCAGACCAAGGCACGTGAATTCTCCTGAGGAATCCACAACCGAAGTCTTAGGCTAGCCAAAGCCTGACCAGCAAGGCAGCTGGGCGGTGTGCGAAAATCGCACTCTTTCGGGGGCCGGTGCCCAGTTCATCGGATCATTCACCCTTCGGGCGGGATCAAACGTTAAAGGTGCCCAATACACCTCGATGCTCAATCTAGCCGGTGACCACGATCGGTTAAATGTGCGATTCTTACGCTTCTTGGTTGGTTTGGAATCAGGGTTTTTGGCCAACTCCCCTAGGTGAACTACCAATAGTTCACTAGCCCGGTTATAGTCCTGGATTTTTGATTTTCGATCTCACTTTGGTGGGAAAACAACTCCATTACTAGAAGGCAATGAGTAGGTGTTCCTCGGCAGAGACTGAAACACTTGGTAAAATAGGAGCATTTCGCTAGCTGTAAGGGAAGAATTATCAGTCACTACCCGAGACGCCGCGACTATATTAAGGCTTTCGGAGGAGCTATTAGGTAGAGTAGGCCTCCTGCCTTCCAGATTGGGGTCCGAAAGATGCTGCAACTGATTGTTTAGAGATAATGAAGGATACGTCGTCAAACTGACAGCATTAGCGTTCTTTCTTTTCATTTCTTATCAGACCAAAATGCTTGAAACTGCATTTATGCAGTTAGATTTTGTACTCCGTGTGTCGGTCTTTCAGTTCTTTTTTCACAGTCTCTATTCACGAACTTTCATGAGCCGGTTTTGAGGGCTGTCTCATAACTTCCGGTTTGGATATATATGTATATAACACCGGCTTGTAGACAAGCATGGTGCCAACGCCACAACATTACAAATAATATGGAGCAGGTGGATTGGGATACAGAACAAAGTGGAAAGATGGAGATACAGTTAAACACGGGAAATTGTAGATAAATGGGATAACAAAAGTTTTTTTGTGTTTCACCGTACACTTTTGGATGCAGGAGTAAATGTAAGATTAGAATCTTCAAATCGGCATCAAGGTGAAAATGAAGAATACTTGAAGACTAGTGTGGCAGGGATAATGCATAGATACATGAGCGCCTCTGTTCGCAACACGATCATATCGCTTAATGTATCTAACCATTGATTACATCAATCCCGATGTCCCTATCCAGAAAGCCTAACGCGAGCTATATGAGCAAGTCCCCCGTTCATGGTTTTCATACCCTCGTGCCATGCCTTAGTTTGACTGGTCCGTCCAATGCCTGCTTCGACAAAACACGCACGGTGGTGATCAATTTAGTGACATACGCAATACATGTCCCAACCAACGCAGTCCGTGGAAGTCGACTGGTTGCCCCAATTGAGCACCGGGACTACCCAAACCTCTGTACCTAACCTTAGTGTTGTTTGTCCGGTCTCTCTACCAGACATTCGACGTAGACGACGGTATTTAAACACTTCCCGTTTTCGCAATTTACAAGTCTCTATGCCGTATAGCAGCACTAGCCGAACTGCTGCAGCATACAATTGACCCTCTACATGTAGCTGAATTTCGCGACGGCACCACAGATGCGTAACGTTGGCAAATGCCAATCGAGTCTGTGATCCATCCGCCAGATGAGATGTAGCTCCCCAGATGGCGAAACTTCTCTGCTTCCTGTACCATTTCCTCAGTTAGAGTGATTTTGGAGACTAAACCAATCCAGTCCTGTAGAAGCATTTTACACTTTGAAGGTGCAAAACGCATACCGAAGGCTATGCTAGCACTCTAACTATCCAAAAAAACCTGCTACTTATTTGGAGTTTCACCTGGCAGCAAAATGTCATCTGCACACTCCAAGTCAGACACTCTGCCTCCTGCGAGTGAATCGATGCCTTTGTCTTCGCACGAGGACAGAGTTGTTTCCATACTCAAATATTTAACGAAGTTAAATAGAAAATGAGATAGATTGCAACCTTGAAGAACACATCTTTCTGTGGTGAACTCGGGCGAAAAAACACCGTAGATTCGGGCACAACTTCGATTATTCGTATAAAGAAATCGTAAATTTTAAGTAAACTTCTCGAGCACACTTTTAAAATAAGGGCAGCGCCAAGGTATAGAGCACCGACTGAGTAGAAAGCCGCTTTCCTATCGAGTATGACTGAAATGATGGGTCCATGAAAGCAGTGTCTATGTTCTATAATTTGACGAAGAGTGAAGATGTCGATACATCCTCGACCAGGTCTAAAACCAGCCTGGTTCTCACGCGTGCACTGTTTGCGTACGACAGATAATCGATGAAGTATGATTCTATCTGCTGCTGATGAACCAGTGTGCCGTCAGACTCCTTGATTACCTCACGCCTACTTTCCTTTGGCCCGTATTCCTAGTTAGCCGAAAAAGATAGCGACTTTTACCGATAGCGGTAGCCTGTTCCATCTATCTACACTTTCCTACACACCATTTCTCGCATTCATTTCTCATATTTGATGAACTGGCGTCCAAGGGATATGCACGCGGTTTCACATTTGGCATCAGGAGGAATTGTTCTGCAAGTGTCCAGCTAGGTAACCTAGGCCGATGAACTCCGTCGTTCGAGTTTTGATCATGCCAGAATTTGATTTGATTGACGTTTAGTCAGCTTCCTTGACTGATAGGGTCCAAACGACTAAATGGTCGATTGGGGATTGAAAATCAATGCAGCGAACCGACAACAATGGCGTTCTTGTCATTTCCCATCAGGCCAGGATGCTTGAAATGATATATGTGCATAGGTGGATTGTATATTCCGTTTGTCGACAATAGAGGTTCCTTTTCTTCACCCTCCCTCAAAATAGGTCTACCTTACATATTACCACTAACTTTGCACGCGCTACGAGTTTGGCAGTGATCAANATTCCCCAGTGGGAAATATGTTCATGATAGAAATATTTAACTAACACAGATAACGATAGTGCTTTGCCGTCTTGTTATTGTTCTGTTTGCCTATGATTCACTAAATCCGCTCATAATTCCTCCTTTTGTCCACAGGATGCCATGGACCGGCGACCCTAGCATTCTCATCGATCGCTTTGATGCCCGGGCTAATTTGGAGCACTACGAGGGACAGATTCCTGATGATCTCAAGTAATTAACTTTTGCTTGCATCATTCAACCGGTATTGTAGACTTACTTCGGTGGAACGCATCGAAGAAAGATTATGCATGTACGAACGGTATCGCTGTCTGATTCACAATGATTATGCTGGGGGTAAGTTTTTCAAACCCTTCCCCTCCCTCCTCAAGACAACCCCACTTCCTGTTTACCTTACACATTATCACTTTTGTGTGGATGGTGCACTTGATTGCGATCAGGGAAGTTCGCTTCACTGTACGATGATGATGATGATGTTCGACAAGTACAGTGTAACCAGAAGATACATTCTCCATTTTATTGTGTTTAGTTCTTTTTCCTACCTACCCGATGTGTTTTCTTTCTTCGTACGATATTGGCATCTTGTCACAGTTTCGGGATGGTTCATGCACCGGTGGTGAACCACATACTTCTTTACACGTTTCCTCACTTTACAGTGCGTTACGTACACAGAACGTTTTCTATCGCGGTATCTAGTGCTTACTCTCGCCCACTGATGACGACGGATATTCCCGAGTTTGACATCGTTTGAATCGCTAGAACGTTTTATCTTGGGCATTGCTATACTCTCACACACAAATATATATATAATGTAAAAAAGAATGGTTTACGTTTAAGGTTTATCAAAACTGGAGAGAACATGATTACTGACGCCCCAAGCAGAGTTAAGATCAATTTCAGAAATAAGGCAAACACTTGGAAAGGTGTCGTCATGGTGAATGCTGGCGGTAGGGTTCCAGACTAATTTATCGTCTTCACAGCACAATGTGCCCAATGAGCGACTAGACTCCAAGGTAATAATCATGCTGGCGAGTTCCGGTGGCAGCTCACCAAAGAGCCCATATACTAACTCTGTGTAATCAATCGATTTTAATTTACCTGGTTTTCTTTGGATTTTAGTATGCACCCAACATGTCATTTTTGCACGCGAGGGACAGATTATATACGATGAATTCTATTCAGTATTGATGCCAACTGAAATCACCACTAGCAAGGGTAGAATTCAATGGGAAACAATCTCTAACGGAGTGTTGTCCCATTGCTTCAGAGCTCACTTGTCCGTGGTGTTCAATTTAAAAAGCTTCTTACTTTCCTTAGAAATTTCAAATTTCCTTGATTCGTCCAACGGTTTGTTTCTAAGTTACAATTGCTGCGAAAACAGGTGACAGAGTAATGCTCGAGCGACAAATTGTTCACAAGTTCCAAGATCTTTGTGTGTATAAAAGAGCAATCTTCGCGCTGAAGGTAAGTTTTCTTTTCACTAGTTTACCTTGATTAGAACTACTCAATGGAGTACGGAGTTGAGATAGTTTTGGATAAACGTTTTATATAAAAATCTCATCTCATTGTGTACAATAAATGTTCGTTTCCCTGGCCACGGACATTTTTCCCCAAGAACAACGACCTTGGTAGTTAAATTCCATAAATTGATATTTGTTCTTGCTGTGCAGACGATAACAGCAGGTACTGAGTAAATTTAATCAGGCGTACAGTTTCATATAAAACGACGGGCATACCCCCTTTCCCTCTCTCGGTTGATTTTAAGGAGTCGCGACAGATTGGGCGTGATGAGCATTCACAGGAGGCTAAACGGGGTTGAGAATACAAACTTATAAAGTGCGGTATTTTCCAGTCGCAAGTTCAACTGGATACACTGTCGAGCATTGGCTAACTAAACTAATATATTCCCTTTGCAGCTTACGCAGGATTGAAGCACCTTTGGTGTAGACGCGATGTTTCGTTGAAACTGAAAGGTCGTGTATACTGCGCCAGTGTGCGGCCAGTTCTGCTCTATGGTTGCGAGACCCTAAATTTGCGCGTGGAAGATATTCGTCGTCTTGAAGTATTCGACTGCAGATGTTTACGTAGTTTGGCTTGGGTTGGATGGAGCGAGCTTGTAAGCAACTCTGAGGTGAGGCGTCACGTATTTGGTAATGATTCGATGGAGAATTCGTTGTCCCATCGAGTTCAGATTAGTCGGCTTCACTGGTTAGGACANATTGCGCATGTCCAGCCATCGTCTGCCGCACTGCGCCTTATTCGCAGTTAGGGCTCCAGGTTGGAAGAAACCGCGTGGTGATCAACAGATGACGTGGAAGCGAGGCATGGAGAAATGCACAGAGCGATTAGGTAGAATCGGTGTCTCGCGTCTTCCAGGTTGGGGTCCGAAAGACTACAACTGGTTGGCTGAAGACATTAAAGGATATGGCGACTGACCGACAGCAGTGGCGCTCTTGTTGTCATTTCTTAACAAGGCAGAATGCTTGAAAAAGGTATGCATGAACACTTAGATTGTGTACTCTGTGTGTTGAACATAGAGGTTCTTTTTCTTTGCCTCCCTCCAAGTAGGCCCAATCCCTCTCCATATTT